ACTCTCTCAATAAACCACTGGAAGCACCATATTCATCGCGTTATTCTATTCACGATCTTATCCATTTTCTTTACTCTTTCAAGTTTTTTTTTTAGTTTTTGTTGTAAATCCTTCTTGATAACATGAGCTAAAAGAAGTACTCCAGCGTGAACTACTTCCTTTGACATTTTAGCTTAAACTGTCAAAACGAAAAGATGCTCGCAACTAGTTCAACAGCAGCGATGATGACACACAGCTAGTTAACTAGCTTTCAACAAGCCAGCGAATGGTGGGTAAATTAGTCCGGCTTTTTATTTTTCTAGCAGCTCTTTTACAATCGGATACTCAAAAGCAGATTGTAAAAAAGCTCAATGACACGGAGCGAGTTTACAAGCTGCTCGCGAACTCGGTGGCTTGTAGCTTGTAAACTAGCCCAGTGTCATCGAGCCTTAACGTATCTTAATCTACTCTACTTTCTCTTTCATTATCCGCCTGTACAAGTTGAAAAAAGGCGTCTCTTCCGTTGTTAGTTAACAGAGATAGTTTGCCATAATCCTCACGCGTAGCAGGCGGACTAGCAATCATAATATGATAGAATATGATCAGGGTTGCTAGACCTACGTTACCTACGACGTAGCGCAGTGGATACTATAAAGTCGTCACTGCACTCTTTACGGTAGTAACAGGTATTAAAGGTATTAAAAATGTTGCTCTACTATGCTCAAATATTAAATCTGTTTTCTTTTAATGTGTTAGAAACTTTTTACTATTGACAGACGCTTTCCACGAGCTGTCAAATACGGGAGGGTTTCGAATTCTGTCTCGTTGGACATATTAAAAAAAACAGACAATATTTTTGGCAACAAAGCAACATGTTCGTAACTTTAATACCTGTTAATAAAATTCGAAATATTTTTACGTAAAAATTTGTCTTTACAAATAATTTTTAAGACACGTATGCAAAGCTATCCTTTCAACAAATCCCTACTACGGAAGATCGTGTGAGAAAAAACGGCAAAACTGTACCATATTTCTCTCAATAATTAAAATTTAACCTTATAAAAATTTAACATAAGTAAATAAATCTAAAACACTAGTATGTGACTAGTGTTTTAGATTAGGCACTATTAATATTTTTTAACCATTACATTAATTGAAAAATATTATTGTGTTGTTGAAGACTCTACAGCCCCCCCCCCCCCCCCAGGAACCGATTACTAACGAAACAAATCCTCGTATATTTTGTGTATGTTAACGATGTTTTTGTAAACAGCTGAATTGATTTTCGATGAACGATTAGGATTCATCTTTTATTGAATAGTTTATACTTCAGGGGTGGTCCTATATCAATTCTAAGAAAAATCTTCAAGCGTACGGTTAGAAAAATAGCTAATGATTTTTTATGTAACTATTCCGACGACAATCTTTTTGTTCCCTTGAACTTGTTATATTCCTCAATCCGCTCCAAAGGTAAAATAATAATTATTTTTAATAAAAGTAAATTTTTTATATAATAAGGGTGACAAGTGAACATACAGTCCACCTGATAGTAAGTGGTTGCTGTGGCCCATAGGCATCTACATCTATCCTCGATTACGAATCAAAATGCAGATGCGTTGTCACCCGTGAGGACTAAGATGGAATGCCTCGTTTCCAGTAAAAAGGGTCTTCGGTCCTCTACACTCACCATACGAAACACAGCAACGTTAAGCTGCTATTCTGTGAGACTGTGGTTCTTCCCCGGTCGAACCGACTCATTCGTGCTACAACTATACTAATAATGTAGCTGCAGCATGGCTCTAAGTACTAATTTTTTTATTCTTAACTTTACTTTTATTTTAAACTGACTTAAAAATCAAAAATAAAACATTATAGGTCTGAAGTCGCGGCTTTTAAATCTTCGATACACTAAGTCTTTAGTACGTACTTAAAAATCTATGAATTAATAATAATAATAATTTATTGACAGACAACAAAGGCCCGTAAAAGACATAGGTATCTACTTATAAGCTACAGTAATAAAAAACTTGAAATAAATTTCCTTCAAGAAAAAAGCTTACTCCTTTCTAAAGGGCCGGCAACGCACCTGCAATTCCCCTGGTGTTGCGGTTGATCATGGGCGGCGGTAGTCACTTAACATCAGGTGAGCCGCATGCTCGTTTGCTCCCTCTTCTATAAAAAAATATGAAAATAGTACTATATACAAAAAATACCACCAAATAAAATAAAACTTACATCTTAACAAGCTAGACCAATATTTCATTACAATGTTGCGTGAAGGTTAAATGCAGATTTTCATTATGTTTTTAACCAAAGAGACTGTGTCAATACAATCGCGTTTACAGATGTGAGCAGATTCCTTCTTAATCCGCCGGCACGCGTGCCTCAGCGAATATTGCAGATGCACTATATTACCTCGTAAAACGAAATAATATTGTTACGAGCTTAGGGTTCGTGACAACAAAAATTGCCGATAGAATTACCTAAATTAACACTTTAATTTACTTTACACAAATTAAAACTTAAAACACTAGTAATTAAACACACTAATTCACTTAATTCCGCTCCGAAGCTTCGCTTGTGTCGCCGAGTTCAACTCTGCTCTGATCGCATCTTGCAGCGCCTATTTATATAATTAGCAAAGAAGCGTCCCGAACATTCAAGTATATGCGCGCCAGGCAACGAGTATTCGAGTGTAGATTTTCCAGAAACTTAGTTCTTCGGGTGGCGATGTCGGTCGAAAGATTTGTGATGTCATTTTCTGCAACGCTCCCCTCGCTCTCGTTCCTGACACTAGATGGCGCTAGTGTGCCGATTTTAGCGCGTAACAATATTCGTAAAGAATCGTTATACTGAACCTTAAAAATTCGATAGTTTTTCTTTTTAAATTTAGTCCAGAGATGCGGCGTGTAAAGCGATTGATAATAGATTTTAAAGAGTAATATTTTAGCATCCCGCTGGCATTTATTAAATTTCCTGCCAATCATATTAGCACGTACAGCAAGGGACCTCCTTTTCATGTCCATGTCCTGATCATCCCACAGGTCACTCGATACGATATGTCCTAAATATCGAAAGCTCGTCACAAACTTCAAATTTTTGCCGTTCAGGTATAATGGTAAACAAACATCTTTATTATAAACTCCAAAGAGCATTGCCACAGATTTGTCTGCATTATAAACTACGTCGTGGCTTGCTGCGTATTTCTCACAAATAGAAATTAACTTTCTTAAGGCTCCGATTGAGGGGCTTAATAAAACCATATCGTCTGCGTAACTAATGTTGTTTACACTTTTCCCACCTACATGACAGCCGATACTCTCTTCATTGAACTCCACAATTAGAGGGTTTACGTAAAGGTTAAATAGCAGAGGGGAAGTCTACCCACTCTGTCTAACCCCACTAGTCAAAACAAACTCGTCCGAAAGTGAACCGTCCCAGTTCACTACATTAACCTGCGTATTATACCAATTAATAAGGATTCTAGTTTTGGATGCAATGTGGGTGGAGCACCCACCAATTTTAACTTATCCCACAGTCCAAAAAACAAGCGTATACTTTTGTTTTCCGTGACAAGTAATACGTTACGAACTAATCGTATCGCTTGGGGTTTACTTTTGACAATAGAGCTAAATACGTATTTTATTAGGTCAGGCGGCAAAAATAAATGTTTTAAACACGCATTAATAAAAACCGAGAGAAACACCATAATCCGGGGTCCACCGCAACGTATGATCTAGCGAAATGTGGTCATGACCACACGCTTTACCAAGGTACATCTTTATTATCAATAATAATAATTTTTTGAAGTCAGTTTTTTTAATAAATTAATTATAATGATCTATAGTTTATCTTCCGTGAAATTACACCCCGAAACATTGATTTAATATATGTTCTCACCGCCATTACGTAGTGTTTTGTTAATTACGGTTCTTAATGTGTTTTAATGGGCAAACATTTTATTTGTTTGCTTCAGTTTTTGTTTGCACACTGTTTCACCAAATTACAGCTCTTAACAGTAAATTATTTCTTTTTACGGTGACGGTTATATTACCTCCAGTTATATTTTAGAGGGTAAAGAATTCAGAAAAAGTCCGCTGCGATGCCTAGCGCATATTTAGGATTTCATGTCCCGAATATATTTTTGATATCATATTTATATGCAGATTTTCGTGATCTTTTTAAACGAAAAGACTATGTTAATCAGCATCTCCAATAGCGAATAGCAATTTCCGTGAGCTAGTAGGGATTGAACTCGTTTTGCTCCCTGAACTAATTACCGCTCTAAACAAAGTAGAAAAAAATATGCATTTAATAATCAAATAAAATCGTTTTTTTCCGCTGTAAGGGATACTTATAAGAATTTAAAAAATATTTACTAAATAAATAAAGATGCTGAACATACAATGCCAGTTGCAATACATTTTAATTTTAAGGTTTCAATTAATGCAAAACTATAATATGTTTGTGTGCTCTTGCACGCCTCACAACGCGCCAGTGTGTGGGGGGTGCTCTACTCGTACTCTCGACATGTCGCTATGCGAGGATTTTGCAATAAAAAAGATTTAGACACCGAATCAATAAAAAAGGGAGGTTTGGAAAACTAGATATATTAAATTATAAAGTCAGCTAATTTTTTTATTCATTTGTTGAGTTATATTTACAAAAAATGTAGGTAGTTCAACATTACTATTACTATTTTATTTATATTACAGCTGTCGGTTAGTCTGTGCACTTGTTTGTCTTCACGTTTCAGAACGTTCCATTTATCGTTAGGACGATCACTATTGCTAGTTATTATCAGACTCATAGACGTTTAAAAGATATTTATTTATTTTCATCAAAAGTAAACGAAGTTTTGATGAGAAAAACAAAAACGCTCATGAAGCGTGCACTTTTGAATTTTCCAAACTGTAAAATTACAAGGCTTTAAATCGCAAAAAGAACAAACGTGTTTTTTTATCTCTCCAATAAATAATTTTATTTGATAACTGGCATTAAATACGATGCTTGATGCGCAGAGAGAATTGTTCGCGGCGAAGGCGGACAGTGGCGCGGCAGCAGCCGATCGCAAACTCTCGTCTTCATCAGCTGGAAGCATGAAGAATAAGTGGTTGAAGGCCTTTCGCAGCTTGAAGCCGCCCAGTGCTCCACCACCGCACCCCGGTCCACAAGACAAGTAAGATATTTACAACTCATTGAACATTTGTAAAGTGTTTAATTCTGATGCTTCAACACTTTTTATTTGTTAAAGATGTTAAAATTAATAAAATATGCTCGTAGATAAGTTCTGCGCAATAAATATAAGCAATATCTCCCAGCTTGAAGAGCAAACTGCACTTAAATTTTGACATCTTTAACATTTCTAATTAATTTCCGCAAATTAACGCTTGATTCGAATAATAACCTATTTTTGAACTATAAAAATACTACAATTTTTTTAAAACAACCAAATTCACTGATTTATTAATTTTTTAATCTAATAATTATTACAACATTGGTTTCTTTCATATTTTACATCCAATCTTTAAAGAACACTTATAGCTGTAAATATATTAACTGCACAAATTCGTAATTCAAATAACGCCCAAATCTTTCATTGTTGTTCGATTCACGTTACAGCTGGATAAATTTTGATATGTAATCCAACTTCAAAGAATTCAAATAAAATAACCCTACATATTAACTTTAAACTCAAAAGTGATTAAAGTAGGGAAAAACTCTACAAACTTAAAAGCAACAAAATATTCTTTTATTTATTGGTGTAGTTTTAATATAATATTGACGATATCGAAAATAACGTATGACTAAATAAACTGCGGGAAAGCTAAGTACATTCTAAGAAAGATTTTTCTATCCGATTTCTACAAACAGCCAAAATACATTTTTAATTAGAGCGAATAGAGGTTACAAGCAGGCTCCGCTTGTTTTTGATTACGAGGCAATATAAAAACTTCCGTCTGACCAGACAATTATCCTCTCGTACATTTACTGGATATATATTTTGACGCTACTATTTCAAAATTTTTTTAAATATAATGTAGCATAGATATACTACGTGGTAGCTTAAAATTTCAAGAATACTTTTCCTATGCCACTATAGTTAATCATCTAAATTAAGAGAATACTTTTAAATAAAACATATAATGATAAAGAGTGGTATCACGTAAAATGTAAAAGTTGTAACTTTTTTTTTTTTTTTTTTTTTTTATAGAATAGGGTGACAAACGAGCACACAGTCCACCTGATGGTAAGTGGTTGCTGCGGCCCATAGACATCTACATCTATCTTCCATTACAAATCAAAATGCAGATGCGTTGTCACCCGCGAGGACTGAGATGGAATGCCTCATTTCCAGTAACAAGGGTCTCCGGTTCTCTACACTCACCATACGAAATACAGCAGCATTAAGCTACTATTTCACGCTGGTATTCTGTGAGAGCGTGGTCCTTCCCCGGTCGAGCCGACCCATTCGTGCTACAACTATACTACTAATATAACTGCAGCATGGCTCTACCACGTAAAAAAAAGTAACTTCTAGTGAGTATGATTGACTAAAATTCAAATGGGCTCACATATATTTCTGTTAGTACGTCCAATCAACGACATGTCGTGCTTGATAAAGCTGTCAATATTTCACATTAAGGTACGCCATGTTGACCGTAATTGAACCAGATTGATTCCAATCCGCGATTACTCTATACTACATTCTCTTGTGCATATCAGTTGCATTTGTAGCCCACTTTAAGTTAAATCTCTGCAAATATGACATCATAAAATAGAAATAGACGATAACTTATATAGACTGTTATATCATGTCTCGCCATAAATTAGATTAAAGTACCTGAATTCTCTGCACAACTTGTAAGGCTTTTCAAAGACTTAGCAAACATAATACCATATAATACTAATTAAAATATTATATTTTTGGTGTCATTAAAGATACACTGTCTTATGGCATAATTATCTGTAATTAAGGTTTCTATAAATATAGTTTTATACGTGGTAGAGCCATGCTGCAGTCATATTAGTAGTATGGTTGTAGCACGAATGGGTCGGCTCGACCGGGGAAGGACCACGCTCTCACAGAATACCAGCGTAAAATAGTAGTTTAATGCTGCTGTGTTCCATATGGTGAGTGTAGAGAACTGGCGACTCTTTTTATTGGAAACGAGGCATTCCATCTTGGTCCTCATGGGTGACAACATATCTGCATTTTTATTCGTAATCAAGGATAGATGTAGATGTCTATGGGCCACAGCAACCACTTACCATCAGGTGGACTGTGTGCTCGTTTGTCAGTGTCGTTGTTGTTGTCAGTTGTCGTTAGCAGAGTGAATTATTGCAAATCACCTTCGATGCTTTTCTTCTTTATGTAAAGCCTATAAAGGCAGGAAAGTCTTCTCAGAATATTTAGGTGTCGACAAGATTGCGACGCTTTGAATGAATGGGCGCTTATTGGAGTAGGTACAAGATTACAAGATTCATACAACGAGGAAGCAAAATATTTATTTTATATGATAGTAGAGATTATTTTGCTTTGGTATTAAATAATACTAGTAACAGAAATTAACGCTGTTTTATGCTGTAGTACAGTGTCATTTAGGATTGAATAAGTAGACATGTTTTACAAATTCCTTTTATTACATTATTTTATTGGTAGCTAAGACATTTTACTTAATACACATTACACAATTACTTAATTACTGATATTAGTTTACTTTGTGTCACTGCTTTGATTGTGTTCAATTCAAGAAAGTGAAAGCAAAATCCGTTTAAAATATCAGTATCTATCTATATCAGTGTTTTATATACATTAAAACATTTTTTATTTTAATTTCAATTAAATATAATTAGTAAATTGTAAAAATGAATACATTATGCGATCTATATGAAACGATATACGGTAGATAATTTCTTTTGAATCTTCTCAAAAATATGCAAATATTCTTGTTGCGTCTTTTTAGAAGTTTTAAAAGGGAAGTTACGGCCTACAATATATGTTCCGGTGCTAAGCAGTCACCTCTCTTATTTCTGAGAGCATTATTGACTAATATTGTTCTGCAGTGTCTGACTGCTTTCGCACGGAGGGGAAGATAACAAAGTCTTCAAAATATTTTTTGTATGTCAAACATGCAGTGTACTCACGATGTTTCCTTTACCCGCTCGTGGTAAAGCAGTGTTTTAAAATTGCTTTCGGTGGGGTTAGAACTCTGATCAAGCTAAGCCAAGAAGTCCGTTTGGGTTGGTATTACCAGCTTACTTATTTTTGCAGCTAAATAGCAGCACTTGCACTGCTGTGTACCGGTCTGACGGGTATAAAGAGTCGGGTTAATGAGGGCAGTTCGGCATTCCTTGGACGAGATAGTTCCTTAATGTGACGATGCATCTGTAGCCTTTTTGTTTGAAGTTGGCTGCAGGTGTCAAAACGACAGTAAACACTTAACATCAGGTTGACTGTAAGCTCCTTAGTCACTTCAGAGTGTATACTCTATATAAATGACACTCGAGGGACTGTGCATATTTTGACGTAATTGAGAGTTGTTGTGAAATGGAACGAAGAAAATTATCTCTCTCGCCTCTATTGCGCGTATCAGTAACACTTTGTCGTCAGTACACTGTGATTTTCTCTTACCTGCCATGTTTACAGGTTGAAAGTCTGTGAGCAACTTAGAGTATGATAACGTATAGATATTCCATGACTCCTACTAATAATAGTCTACACGTGCCAGAAATTCCAATTTGGAAATTTAACAACGGATTTCATAGAGAGTTTGGTATGTATCAAGCTCACAGTAGAGTTTATTAACGGCTAGGATAATAAAGCGACAAAAGAACGTACACACCTGTGCAGTTTTTACTAATTTTTGCACCTTAAAAAGTAATTATTATTTATTTGTTGTCGTTATTGAGAGTGTGTGTAAAGCTATATAGAATATATTAAAATTGTATGGAAGACAATCTAAACCAACCATGGCATATTGATTTCAACGCTAAATCATGTGGCGTTACATGGACTTTGCACTGTATATATAATAATTTAATAAATCTAAAATATACCATACATAAAGGAATTATATGACCTGATGCTAATTTTTTTAACTGATCATTGATGGTAAAATCCGAAAGTATAGAGAGTAGCAAAAAGGTCTCAAAGGAGTCTCAGGGCCGATTTTGATTAAAACTAAATCTGTATACTAAGATTTTGAAAAAACGATTTTTCCTAGCCGGGCGACTCTCGGCTAGTTATCCGTTGATTTTGGAAAAAAACACATGCCATCTATTTCGCTATCTTGTAGTGTTATTTAATAGAATCAAATTCTGGCAATGTTTAGAGGCACACTAAATTAAAAGTCTTTTAAGAATGACTCACAATTTGTATTATTTTCTTAGTTCATAGGTGGCAAGTTTTAGTAGTTCATGACCGACGACGCCTAAATGGTCGGGACTTTACCGGCTGTTTTGTGTAGGATAACCAAACATAAACGGTTGTATTTCTGATTGTGTTTGATTAAATTAAAAAAGTGAGAAGGTATTATTGAATCGCACATACAATACAGTGACTTATGCCTATGTGTTTTATTTGTATAAACATTTGCACATCACAGTTTGTACGCAATTATAAATAATTGTACTGATTCAATTGCATTTATCATGTTCATTTTAATGTTTCTTTCTTCTTGCATCAATAAAGAAAAAATCAAATGTACCACGCGGTGTCAACAGTTATGGCCATGAGGTAACATTACCCTGTAGGTGTACCTTGCACATGTTTTTCTTAATTTATATTTAAGCATCCAGCTCCCCATTCCACTCGTAGATCCTTTTATCTAATTTAATACTAAGTTAAACGGTAATTAGTATATAATTATTAGTTCTATTTATCGAAGCACTGTTACCGAAAATTTTCTTTTTAGTTGTTAGTCGACTGAATGCGACACTTATTTTATAAGGAATTAGCGGTAGGTATATCTTTAAGTTGTAAAGTCACACTGCAGCTGTATTGTGGCTGTAGCATGAATGGTCCAGCTCGACCTGGAGAGGAGCACACTCATGGAGAATACCAGCGTGAAATTGTAGCATAATGCTGCTGTGGTATGGTGAGTGTAGAGAACCGGAGACTCTTATTACTAGTAACAAAGCATTGTAGATGAGATGATAGATGTAGGTGCTTATGAATTGCAGGACTCACTTGCCATCAGGTGGGTTGTATGCTCGTTTATCACCCTTACTTCTGTAAATATAATATTGTATTTCCTTCGCTTGTAATTTCTATGCTAAATGTTTTGTTTTTTTGTTTGCATCATTAAGTCGCACGATGTTTAGTGTCTAATGATTTCAAACGGGTAGATGTTCAAGGATGGACACTCATTATGAAAGTCGGGGTCATTAAGTCTTGTACCTAGCATTGGGAGCCGCACAGTTCGTTATTCCACCACGTGCTCTTGACCTTGAACGTCATCGATCAATATTCGTGACGTATATTACCACTGATTGTGACAGCCCGTGGAAAGTACCAGCTTGATAAATGACCCCTATACTGAAAATCTGTTTGTGAAATCGCTGCCTTCACTACCTACTATGTTACAAAAAGGTGTTTTTAATCTTTGTGTAATACAATTTCTTTCATCAAATAGACTTAATCTAACAGAAAAATATTGAATTTATTCTATATTGTAAGAAAACAAATCATATTGTATTTACTTAATTATCCTTTTAAGAAATATCGACTTAATCATAAAATGTATCTCACGAGTTGGCTCAGTTTTGCTAGAAATATGAAATGTGGTTTATTGTAATGTTAATTTTAACATTATTGCAAACTAAAACTGTTACCATTTATAGGAGGAATGGTGCAGCCCGCGATGCTATGCGTTCTGGTGGTGAATCGGAGGCTCACAACTTCCAAGAATATACATACAAGAAAATAACGCCTTGTGATATATGCTCTCAAGTTCTACGAGGTTAGTATTGCATGTGAAACTTCTATAGTTCTAAAACACAAAACATAAATAATCCTTTCAATTTCTCAAATACTACGGGAGAACACAGGTAAAGATACATTAAAAATAAACTCTACCGGGGACTACTGGATTTTGAGCTTTTTGCGATCATAAGATTGGATGCCTATTAGTTGTTACAATAATTATTTATTCATTTATTTATGTAAAACTTTATTATACTTTATTTAACATGTGGTATATAGGCGGACTTATGCCTAAGATATTCTCTACCAGTCAACCTTGGGGTGATGCAGAGATAGAATGAAGTGGGTATATGTATATATACTCGTAAAGATATAAATATACCAAAAAGAACAAAAAACATAAATAAACCGTAGATTCTGCTAATTTATTAAATAGGTGTTCTCGAACTTTCCTGATGAACCCGTTACGATTGCTAGCTATCCTGATTTCGAGAGAGTTAACTACGTTTATTAATATGAATTTCTCTTTTTTTACCGATTTCGCAAATCTCAATACCAGCCTGTGGTACCTTAGACTAATTTTAATTTGAAGCAAATTCTTTATTTGCAACTAAATAGGTACAATTTTTTTTCTAGGTGTTATCACCGTTAATGTGTCAAGAAAACCTATTTAGCTGTTTTCAACAGTTTTTATAATATAATTAATTACTAAATTTATTCTATGTATATATAAATAACTAAAACGTCTTTTTACAATTCTCCAGTGTCGTAGAATTATTTGTAAGCCAAACAAATATTTAATCAATGCTGGAATCAGTGGTCCGTATTGCCGCTTCTAAAAGATATGGCAGTGTTACTACTGACTCGTTGAAATAAACTGATTGTACGTTTACGTCTAGCAAATATTTCTTTAATTCACTGGTGACCCGTAACGCTTTGGCACAGTCATGGTCTACATAATGTTGTACTATTTAACAAATGTGTGTTTTTATAAACATCATTTTTAATTCCATAAAACATGCTCGTGAAACCAGACATTCAGATCTAAGGTAGAAGTGACATGCAATGTCGAAAGCTGTCTATGAAAAATCATTTATGCACTTAGATCTATTTCTGTCACATTAAGTTTTTAACTTACGCTGTATTTTCTGTCACTCTCTGTCCAAGAAACAAAAAAATCCAAGAGAAAGAAAAGTAAAGTAATTTTCAAAAGCTCTTTATGTGTCACATTATAATTTACCCTTTTCTATCCACTCACAAAGCTACATGATAATTAACATAACATTTGTAATCTTTCTTTTTACACTTTGTTTCTTTAGAATCAAATAATAGTTATTTTATTAAGCGTTTTAACGTTAATCTTAGTAGTTTTAAGTTAATTTAAAGTAAAAAAGAATGTTGTCGTTTATTACTCCAAATCGAAAACATAATCGTTGTTTGAAAACAACGTTTGGGACATTACTGAGTCATTTTAAAGGAAAACGATGACACGAACCCCAAACTATGATAACATGAAATTACCCTACCGCTGCCTGGCACGTCAGTCTTTATATAAATTCAAAAAAATAATGATTTAAATTAGTACATACACAAATGCCACGCTCTTACTTTAGTATCAACATGATTTGACTGAACTTTTGTCAAACGCTCTTAAATTTATGGAGAGCAAAAGTTTTGAATACTCCAAAATTTTAACCCAGAATCTCTTAACTACCTAAGTTTGTGCCGTCCATTGTTAGATCACTTTCGTTACTTGAAAATTCATAATTATTGTATCTTGAGAAATGGCGTACAAGCTACATAAAATTGTCGTACAATTGCGTCGCCAAATATCGGTTTAAAAAGGCCCTTCTCGCATTTCACTAATAAAAAATCTTATCAAAATAAAGCGTTTTTCTTAGCAATAAAGATATTAACAGTTTTTTTCTAAAAGCCTAGAGTAATATGCTTTTTACTAGTCTACGAATTTTGAAAGCTTTTCCAATCTAAGTATTCTATTAGTACTGATGAAATACGCAGCTTTTATTTCTTCTTATATGAATAATAACAATTTATTACATTAATGTAACAAATTTTATTTTTCCATAACTATATAATATTTCTAAGTAAACTTAGAAATAAATATATATATATATATATATATATCACTGTAGACTCAGAGTGATCGACATAACCTACCTACCCACCTAACCTAATTACCTAACCCAACGGATTAGTAAGCTGATTGGCAATAGGCCGGCCATACAGCTCGAAGAACCGTCAACCGATGGGTAAAAAGGTTCTCGAGGCAGCTTCGTACCGGTAGCAGAAGTGTTAGGCGACCCCCGCTAGATGGAGATACGACCTGGTAAGAAATGCAGACAGTCAATGGATGCGGGTTGCTCAGAACCGTGCTATGTGGCATTACTTGGGGGAGGCCTATGTTCAGCAGTGGACTTGTGAAGGGCTGTAATGATGATGATAATATAATATTTATTGTTTCTTAATATTTGCATGTGTAAATTTTGTAAAAACATTGACGAATGTATACAACATAATTCGAAGAACATTTCATAACCAATCAAATCCCTTTTTTATGGTCATATCTTTAACCTCAAAATTTGATACACTGGTAGGCGAAATTTCTGTACATACGGGTCAGTGGCAATCTAGGTCGAGCACTATGACTAACAGTAACGATTTTAAAACGAGTTGCTTAGAAAAAAACTGTGGGGTGCTGATCATAATCTCAATTTGAAAGCTTACGCTGCCCGTCATCAAGTTTTAAAATTTTTAACACAATGATCTGTAACTAACTGTATAGTAGCTACGTACTCCTGGAATATGTTTTATATATCATTAAAATTTTAAATAAATATAAAAGTATTCCAGTAGAAAAATGAATAAACCGACCTATTTTAGACTTCTGAAAATATTAGTGTAGTTGTTACCATAGTTGAGCTGCAAGGCATTTTGGCATTTTCTCCAAATATCAACCTCAATTATAAGCATATATATGTATATAATAAATTGTGCTGATGGATGGAGGAGGATCTGGCGACAGACTGATAGCGTAATATCTACCCAAAATCGTACAACCAAAATTTAACCGACTGTTCATAAAGTATTAATAGTGCGACGCTTTTCTTTTAGTAACAATGCAAGTGACAAAGAACTAATGGTCCATCCGATGGCGAGTGACTATTACGACACATGGACACCAACTTAAAAGGAGGAAGTGTTTATTGTTCTGGCTCTTTATGCCCTTCAAACTGGAACACAACTGTGCGGCTTGACGTCAGGAAATAAATAGGTGGGAGGGTGGTTACTACACGTTTGGACTTTTAAAGGAGTCCTATTACCTATTAAAAAGGATAGGCTACCAGGTCTGCACTCAACAAATTGCCTGCCCAGCGCAGTGACTTTCCTTGAAAAGACCTTCATTTATTTTTAATTTAAATAACAAATACCGAAAGTTTGTTCTTTAATGGTAAAACTCAACTATTGCAATTTGTTTTCTTTACATCTAAATTAATCACGAAATGTTCAAATCCTTATTATGATTGTAGCAGTATTCGCGAAAATATATTTTCATTATATATAATAGTTCTGCAATAAGTATTTTAGAATAATAAAATTAATTCACTGGCTCATTATTTTATCTACATGAAAGAGGAGATATTGCAAGATAGAGAGATAGATGTAATTTTACAGGTGCAACTTTTTTAATGTTATTAAAGCGAAAATTAAATTTGTATGATGGACATATAATAACCCAAACCACCAAACCAAAACCTGGTAGGGCCATGCTGCAACTATATTATGGTTATAGGACGAATGGGTCGGCTCGACCGGGACCACGCGCTCACAGAATACCTGCGTATAATAGCATTTTATTGTTGCTGTATTTCGTATGGTGAGTGTCGGAGACCTTTTTTACTGGAAACGAGACATTCCATCTCAGTCCTCAAAGGTGACAAACAACAAATCTGCGGTTTATTTCTTACTTGAGGATAAATGAAGATGTCTATGGGCCAAAGCATCCGCCGTCATGACTGTATGCTCGTTATTATATAAAAGATCTTAAAATCTTAAAATTTTAATTATTTACAAGCGCAAGTAGTGCATAAAAAGTAAAAGCAAACTTAAGTTGTAGCCTATCACTCTTGCTGGGCACAGGCCTCTTCTCATTTCTGGAGGCCAAAACAGAATTCGCGGCGCCGCGTGTTGGCAGACTTTACATCATGTCTTCTAAACATATATTATTTTTATTTTATCAGACATGCAGATTTTTCCACGATGTTTTCCTTCATAGTTTCCTTCAGTGCTTAAAATTGTTTAAAACTCACAATTTCAACGGTGCCTTCGAGGATTGACATGAACCTGGGTTATTTGCGTAACTATTGTGAAATCAACGGCGAGTTATAACTTGTTGCCTCAGCCAGTATCGGAATCCTCGGCGTCGACATATTGAGTGACGTGCAGTTTCGTGGTCACTTGGAAGAGAAGGCCGCATTGGCCTCTAAAAAGCTTGGCGTTCTGAGCAGAGCGGGACAGTATTTCATGCCGGCACACCGCCTGCACCTTTACAAGGCTCGGTCGCACATGGATTACTGTTTCCATCTCTGGGCTGGGGCTCCCCAGTACCAGCTCCTTCCACTTGACTGCATCCAGCGCAGAGCGGCTCGAATCATCGACGACCGACTGCTTTCCGATCGGCTCGATTCACTGGCGCTGCGAAGAGATGTTGCATCTCTTTGCATTTTCTTTCGCGTATACCATGGGGAGTGCTCGAGGAATTGTTCGGATTAATCCCAGCCGCCAAATTCCGTGAACGCACTACGCGGCAAACGTCCCGATACCATCCACACCATCTGGATGCTTGTCGGTCCACCACTGTACGTTTCAAAAGGAGTTTTCTTCCGCGTACGACCTTTCTGTGGAATAGTTTACCACCGGCGATTTTTCCGGACCGATACGACCTGGGGACCTTCAAGAAAAGAGCTTACTCCTATCTAAAGGGCCGGCAACGCACCTGCTATTCCCCTGGTGTTGCGGTTGATCATTAGCGGCGGTAGTCACTTAACATCAGGTGAGCCGCATGCTCGTTTGCCCCCTCTCCTATAAAAAAAAATAAAATAAAAAGAGGCGACAAAAGGAAATGAAACGGGAGATGGGCAGCAACATCTGTAATGAATACGAATAATCTATGCTAATCAAAAAGTACTAATAAAATGGAAACAATAGTAGAACCACGTGGCAGCTTTTACTGTTGCACATATGGGCCGATTCGAGCCGGGGATGTACCACGACCGCACGGAATACCGGCGTGAAGTGGAAGCTCTATGGCCAATGGCCCAATTCCCCCCCCCCCCCAACATTGTAGCGGAATTAAATGAAAGACTATCCCAGAGGGTAGCACTAGCACCTCTGGGGAATCCCTCGCTGAGTATTCACGACCAAGCTACTCCACTCCTGAGCGTGGGTGCTCAGGTTGCCCCCCGTATTTTGGGACATCTGTTCTTGAAGCCTCAGCAGTCTTAAATGTATTGACCTGTACGCCCGCGTAGATAGCGACGATCATCCGCGCGTCTACGGGTGCCTCTTGAAGTCCCATAGTGGTAATGTCAAAACAGACCGACTCATCGACCACGTTCAAATGGCTACAGATTCCCTTCTTCAACAGATCCCATCCGCAGAGATCGTGATCCTCGGCAATTGTAACGCCCACCACGCCGAATGGCTCGGTTCACGTTTAGGCGATCATGCGGGGATTCATTTTCCTTGGCATATGGTCTGTCACAAATGGTTACTTCGCCTACGCGGATACCTGATGTGGAGGATCATGCACCTTACATGTTGGACCTTCTGCAGACCTGTCATTCAGACAGATCGGAGATATCAGGTCTCAGTCGACGCCCCTCTTGGCTTCTCGAATCAATGTCTAGTCCGGAGTGAACTATCACTCACGCTGAAATCGCTGTTGCATTCTGCAGACTGCCGCCGTGTTTGGTACTATAGGTCGGACGATTGAGATAAGATGTGGTCTTACTTTGCATCCTACCCTTGGGGCAGGTTTGCTTCTCGCCAGACGACCCCAACGTTTTTGCTAGTTCTGTGATGTGGTACTTCAGGGTGGAACTTTTTATTCCTTCCTCTGTGGTACCTATCGGAGACAGATCTCAGCCATGGTTTAGTAGCTCCTGTAAAATAGTATCACGCTATAATCAGGAGTGCTACCGGACTTGGGCTGACGCATCAAGATCCCAGAATGTAAACACCAGCACCCTTAAAAGAAGGGGAGCACATCGCCAACCATCCTGCGGTATGATTGATCCATGCATAATGTGCAGTTCAGCGCTCGGTTCGCTAAGCACTCCTCTCCCTAGACATCTACAACTTGAGTGGGCCAGACGGAATCCCCCAATTGTGCTGAAGCCATGTGCTCCAGAATTGGCAGCGGTTCAAACGCGTCTTTGGAACTCCTGCTCCCTAGGCGTTGTCCCGAAATCGTGAAAGACGGCTTTCGTCCAACCGATACCAAAAAAAGGCGACCGCTCAGACCCATTTAACTACATGCTTATCGCCATCACCTCCTTATTCCCCAAAATAATGGAATCCATTATAAACTGTCAACTCATGTGGTAACTTGAGGACCACCAGCTGATTAGTGACCATGAATACGGGTTTTTACGGGTTAAGTTATTAGTCGTTAGTTTTGACATTGCGAAGGCCTTCGACCGGGTTTGTCACGAAGCGCTTCTTTCGAAGCTCCCTTCATATGAGCTTCCCGAGAAATATCGCAATTGGATCACCCGCTTTCTTGCAGATAGGAGAATCAAAGTCGTTATAGACGGTGCATGCTCCGATTACAAGCCTATTAATACTGGTGTTCCACAAGGCTGCGTACTATCACCAACGCTGTTTCTTCTGCATATCAATGATATGTTGCAAACCGGTAACATTCATTGCTATGCGGATGACAGTACTGATGATGCTCCATACGCCGGCCGTGCCAATATTTCTCGGGAAAACGTCGTCGAGTACCGGAACAAACTTGTGTCTGAAGTCGAGTCTTTACTGGACAAAGTCTCGGATTGGGGGCGACTAAATCTAGTCCGTTTACCGCTAAAAAGAACCCCTTCGTCGTATTTTCTCATTTTCACCCTTGTTGCCTCAGCTAGTATCGGGATCCTTGGCGTCAACATATCAAGTGAAAGAGAAGGCGAAATTGGCCTCTAAAAAACTTGGCGTGCTCAGCAGAACGGTACAGTACTTGATGCTGGCACACCGCCTGCAACTTTACAATGCGCAGGTTCGGCCTCACATGGAATACTGTTCTCATCTCTGGGCTGGGACTTCCCAGTGCCAGCTCCTTCCACTTGACCGCATCCAGTGCAGAGCGACTCGAATCGTTGAAGACCGAGTTCTTTCCGATCGGTTCGATTCACTGGCGCTGCGAAGAGATGTTTCATCCCTTTGTATTTTCTTTCGCGTCTACCAGGGGGAGTGCTCTGAGGAATCGTTCGGATTAGTCCCAGCAACCAAATTTTACGAACGCACATCGCGGCAAATCTCCCGATACCATCTACATCAGTGAGCCGTGGTAGCTCAGATGGTTAACGCTCGCTGTAAATATAACAGAACGCGAGTAACCCGGGTTCGATCCCCACCGGCACCAATGAAATTGTTAATTGCAATTTTAAGTGCTGATTTACCACGTGCTCGGCGGTGAAGGAAAACATCGTGAGGAAACCTGCATGTCTGAGGAATAAGAAAAAAAAATTATTTCGAAGACATGTGAAGTTTGCCAACACGCATTGGGGCAGCGCGGCGGACATTTCCTTGCCCTAAAACCCTCTCAGAAATGAGGGGAGGCCTGTGCCCAGCAGTGGGACGTATATAGGCTGTAACTTTACTTACTTTACATCTACATCATCTGGATGCTTGGCGGTCTGCCACTGTACGTTTCACTAGTAGTTTTATTCCGCGTACGAACTCTCTGTGGAATCGTTTACCACCGGCGATTTTTCCGGACCGATGTGACTTAGGGACCTTCAAGAAAAGAGCTTACTCCTTTATAAAAGGCCGGTTAACGCACCTGCAATTCCCCTGGTGTTGCAGTTTTTCATGGGTGGAGGTAGTCACTTTCCATCAGGTGAGCCATATGCTCGTTTGCCCCCTCTCCTATAAGAAAAAGATGGAGGAGAGTTTAGTAAGAATCTAATTGGTCTCATTTGATTTATTTTGATGAAATATATGGTAAAAAGGGATTGATTACACTAGAAAATGACATTACGTATGTTATATGCATCCTAATAATTATCTCAATGTTGAAGGTGGGTTATATGCATCTCCACCAGTATATATATATATATATATATATATATATATATATATATATATATATATAACCCAACTGGGTTGTATACATCTCCACCAGTTCAACCTTCCATCTTTTGATTTATGAAAACAAAAGTTCCAATTCATTGTCTTATTCGTGTTTTGGTTTCAGGGCACACCCGACAAGGATTACGTTGTCGTATTTGTAAAATGAACGTGCACACAGACTGCATGCCGCAAGTCGGCAAGTGCCAGACTAAGTCAAAGCTCCTTCGTAGGCAGAAAAGCACTTCCGAAATTGAGTCGCACAGAGTCCAAGAAACCGCTTTCGAAGAAGAAAGTAAGTGTTCATAATATAGACTGTATTTAACATCCATAAACTACCAGCAGAATCATGATATATGAATCACTGTATCAAGAGATGAGATTTTCATATTTAGAACTAAGGCAAAACTATATTTTTCAATTAATTGTTAATAAAATAGTAATAAATTTTTAAATTTTGGTAAATTAAAAGTTGATCCTTAAATTTTTCTTTTTTCTTATAAACTGTGTATTAATAAAAATGCATTTATCATTATTATCTATAATGTGGCAGAATGTAAGTACAATAATAATTTTTCCAAAGCTTTCAGCCGACGATACTGTTGGATGTTGTTAAAAGTTTGTTTCTAACGACTTAAGTTCACAGACAAGATACATTTATTTAATATTACTGGATTCGTGATTCGTTAGCCTTATTATATAATATATTGTATACTTGTTAACCCTAACAAGTATACAATATATAATAAAATAAGCGTTACAATATATTATATAATAAGGGTACAATCGCTAATAAAACCGTAAATGTAATTATTATAAAATTTTCGCGTACTTTTTGACATAACGAGAATTTTCAATAAAAGTGAAATCGCTTATAGAATACAAAATTTCCGGCCGACATTAAAATAAATATTCAATTCTTTTATTACATAAGCATACCATTTATCCACACTTGTCGAACGATAAACAAGTACACTGGTTAATTTCAACGCTTTCACAACATGTAGAAAACACAACTTGCGACACACGTATTAAGGTTAGAAGTAAATTTCACGTTATTCAGGGGTGGAGGAAGGCTGGCTGCCGGGACAGAGACTCACCAAGATTAGTTTCAAAGGATCGGTCGAATTCGATGACGATTTCGATAGCTACTATAACGAGGGTACAGTATTAGCTAGGCGTGATACCCGTGCACTCCTTAGAAGTCCAACATTCGTAAAACTAACCATCCTGTAAATTAACAACATTAAGGAAACTAAGTAACGTTTCGCACTAACTTAGAGACACGTAGACTTGCGGTCACCCGTCGGTTTCCATGTTGACGTGACGGCTCGATTGACTAACATTTCGATCGGTGCTCAGAGGAGGAAGTGGATCAGACCTACCAAGTTCTGAAGCGGGCCAACGAAATAGCGAAGCCGGGCGGCGGGGATTCCCGCGGGGGCCCGGTAGTGCGCGTGTCGGCGCCGGAGGAGCCGGGCGCGCCGCGCTCGCCGGCGCGACCCGCGGCCGGCCTGGCCGTGGCCCCGCAGCCCGCCACCTCCACCTCAGGTGCGGCGCCGCTGGGCTCTCTCGCAAGGACCGCGCCGTATGCCGCCGCCCGGCCGGCAGCTTTTCACTTCACTCGTTTTCAGTAGTGTCGAATTTTGCACGCACTTCGTTAGTCGCGGGCGCAGGGCGGGGCGGGGAGCGGTACTGAGCGGTGCTTGTCGGTAGGCGGGGCGATGCGGCCCGACGGCGGCGTGCGGCGGCGGCTCTTCGCCGGCGTCAAGAGTTTGTCCATGTGGGGCTCGAAGTCGCGCCGCGGCTCGCCGCAGCACCGATCCGTTTCCCTGCCGGAAAGTATGCGCCACCGACTGCCGTAGCGCATCTCTGTCTCACAGCTGCCGTTTGAGCTTTGTTTGTCCCGTCTAACTGGATTCCAGTGCCACGTTACTGTTGTGTGCTCTGCATTATTATTTTTATTTCCCTATCTGTGATAGACGTGTTTGTTTAGATCATAGGAACGATAATAGATGAAGCTCGATATTTAGGCAACTGCACTAGATGCTTGACCCTGTCCTGCCTATGGGCTTTTTCATGACATTGATAGTCACGGCGACACATTATGCATAATTAATCCCTTAACATACTGGTATTTATTTTTAATTATTACACGTTTTTTATTATTTTATTAATTAATCCATATTCTTAGTTTAAAAAAATATTAAGTTATATTGTTATTATATCATTATTATTTTGTTTAAATTTATTATTTAGTTTCTTTTTTTTTCGGGTTTATTTTTACAGAATCGGAAGAAACAACTACGCGACCATTTGGACAACCCCTATGTTTTGTTAAAGAGAACGGCGATCCGCCGCCTTCTATTCTCAAGCCAACGGCCAGCTTTCGGAAGAAAAAATGATTTTAGTGCCTATCCCAAGATAGTGAAGTTCAAGTTTCGTTTCCACGACAAGAGCACTGACTCAGTGTGGCAAGGTGGCTTGACATTGACAGCCGCCTCTTAGTTATCTCTATTGTTTATAACCCCGAAACGCCCCGCGTTCTGTGATACGTATATTGTTACTGTTACAATAAAAATCTGAACAAAACAGATCTTTCTTTGGATCCTGCCGTTTGCACTGTTGCATCTTTAATTTAATAAGCCTTTTCCTACCGGGCGATTGGATGAACGTAAGTGGTTGCATGGCTTGGTAAGCGTGCTGACGGTCGCATGAGTTTGTCTTTGGCGAGTATTTGTATTGTAACATTGTTCTATCACTCACATCTATGGACTCCTGGTACTTACAAAGCGTCTCTATTCACGATACCCTTATGACACTGAAACTATTCTGATGAAATTTACTCACTCTGCTCAATTAACGTCAACAAAGCACACAGCATCGATAAATTTTTCTAATAATTGTTTCGATTATAAATTTATTTTACTTTTTTCGCTTCTTTTACTAACTCTTCTGCTGTTTGTTTCCATTTATAACAGGCCGTCTAGAAAAAGGATTTAAATAAAAGTACTTGTGAAAGAATGATCGACTCGTGCCTGTTTACTTTGTTCACGCAGGTTCGATGAGGAATTCGAAGAGTGCGCAAATGTTGATGCAGGCAGACCGCACCAGTCCCCTACCTGGTACCAAAATCGGAATCTTAAATACCTCTTCGTAGAATATTTTTGATATTGATCGAAATTATTGTTGCATTATTAAGCATCGCAAAATACATCATCCATACCATTTTCCAGCACAACCCCGTACACATATTAACATTAATGGTAATGTGCTGAATAAAAAAATATATTTTTAAAGCAGTTGTATCGTGTTTAACAAATTTTGTAGAGTCAGTAGACTTATTAGGTCTGTGAAACTTTTTACTCCTTAACCTCTTTCGACATTCATATTCATGTGCATTTCTCTTTATCGTTATTGGTATTTCATTAGAGCATTTTGGTTTGCTACGCTTATGCACATTAATATATGTATTTCAATAATTTTATTAATCAAGGTTGAAATGATAGCACGAGTATTTCTATTGATCTTTTTAACACCAATATACCTCTACATAGCCAATATTATAAAAATGAATTATACTTACATATGATACACATTATTTGTAATAAATTATACAGCTAATGTGATTTGGGTATGGTGTGTAATTTTCATAATATTTGATCAGTTTGCTTAAACTTCGCGCTATCAGTTCAAAATAACATTTATTACTAACATTTTAGACTAATCCTATTAAGTTTTATATAATATTTTGTTTTGTCGTAAATTCAAAAATAAATTATAAGATTCATATTCTTACTTCCTTTCAAAAAATTAAATTATAAATTACAAAGTATATGTCAAAAAGTATTCATAACAACAAAATTCTCTGGTATATGAGGGTCAGCTGAACGCATTGGTAAGTGTTAAATCCTGTGCTTATACAACGTGACTGTTGTAGCGCCCCATTCGCCGAGACGCCAAAAGTTGAACCTTAGGATGAAGAGCCTGTCGCTGGACTCGCCGGAGTGCGGCGAGCTGCGTCGCCGCCCGGCCAGGGAGCAACCCGCGCAGGGCAGCCGTGTCCTCTGTACGATCAGTAACTTCACCAGCGAGTCCAAAAGACCTTGATGACTAAATTATCCTCATTCATTTTTGAACGATTGTTTCGGTTCGATATGAAGAACACAATTTTAAATGCATATTTTGTAATTTAATACTGTGCTCAACTGTGATTGCATTATAGGTAGATATAAATATTTAAAATAAACTAGAGTCTGTTCTAAAAGATAGCTGACATTTTGATTTAAATTCTTTAAACTTATGTTCCCTGGCTTGAACACATGCGAAGATCCTACGAGATTTCTTGCGGTAACCTGTCCCATTCTCGAATAGCGGCTTCCCTGATCTCTGCAATGCAGTTACTTTTACATTTAGATTAATTAATAAATACATTATAAATAATAAATAATTACGTCATCATTCAATGGCCTTTTTCATATAGGTTTGTTACCTAACAACCGAATAATAAATAAAAAGCAATGACTTGTGTTACATTTGTCAGAGGCAAACGACAATAGATCGAGTCGTTGACATTTTAAATGTAATTTTTAAATTATTCGGACTTTAGCCAAAAAGCCAGGTAAACTTAGGCGTACATTACACGCTCATGCAGGGACCAATCAATTCCATCAATCATGGTTGATAAAAAACGGATAGAGACTGTATGATTTATTAGTTTTACGGTTATTACTCGTAAAACTTATACCTCCAAGGCAAAAATCCCCTTCAAGTGATTGAATAACGACGATTTTTAATAGAAATAGCGTGTGAACACCTGATAGTAAGTGGATGTTGCGTCCCATAGACACATATCTATACTCGTTTAAAATGTATTGTCACCCCTGAGAACTAAAATGCAATGCCTCGTTTCCAGTAAATAGGGTCTCCCGTTCTCTACAATCACCATACGAAAAACAGCAGAATTAAGCTGCTATTTCACACTGATGTTCTGTGAGAGCGTGCTCCTTCGCTTGTCGAGCTGACCCATTTGTACTACAAGACTCTACCGCGTATAAATAATAATAGTAGTTGTTGTATATTTAATTAAAACTTAAATACTTACTTATTAAATGATTTGTAGACCATATTGCGAGAATAGTGTTTCAATAATGGAATCAACGGTCTGGATATTTTGGATCTGGTAATTTTTGGGATGAGTCGATTAGCAGTTTAAATTAGAGTGACAGAATTCAATTTACTGGTAAAACTTAAATTTGAACTGTGAAGCGTAAAAGGTTGCTTTTATAAAATGCTACATTTATCTGACATTTCCTAAGCTTATGCCACTCACAATAAACCAGAAGTATCCAACACTGCCCAGATATGGTAAAGTATACACAAATATATTTAGAACGTTTAGATGTATCACAACTGATCCCATATAAATGAGAGTAAATTAAATTACAAAGTAATTGTCGTCAGTTTTAACTATTCAAAGGTTTTTTGGACTCAGTTATAAATTATTGTCAAAAATTCAATGTTGTGGCACAAGCAATGTTCACCTCTGTGAGTACCCTTCAGCTTAGCTTGTCTGTGTATACTGTATAGCATAAACTGTCTAGAGAATTCGCGTGGTGCGCTTTCTAGGTCGTTCGAAGGTGATGAGGCGAGTCGTTTTACGATTTCCGTGTCTCCGATTTATGTCGCATATTTCTTTAGCACCGACCGATATCGATGTTTTAACGTATTCCACAAATATACAAGATATGATGTGATAAATATGACGATTATTTATCACACGATTTAAATTTTTATTTCTCGTCTGTTATGTTGCGCATGTGATTTATTTCCTTCTTTAATTTTTCTTTTTAGATAACAGCAGAGGGATTTATTTCCGACACGGCTCTAATAGAATAAACAATCGCACGATTTATAATTATTCGCAATCATGTAGGTTTCATTTTATCTTATTTGTACAATACTCGTGCCAAACGATGTTTGTAGAAAATGTACACTCTCAACCTATATAATATCACAAGATAGTTGAAAAGCTTTTAAAAAGTTACGTTTAGAGAGACAAATCGTTTATTGATACAGTAACTCCATTATACACATAATTTTCGATGGCCACAACACAAAGGTTGAGTGTTATCAGTTTGTTGATACCACATTGTTTGGCTAGCGGTATTATTAGCAGATAAGGATTAGTTAAATTTTATGAGCACGTTGCCTGTTCTTTATAAGTTATGTATATTCGTGTGTATGTTGTATCAGCAAAATTAGTTAAAACTACGGACATAACTTATAATACGACTTAATTACAAATAGAAATCAGCGAAACCTGAAGAGACTGAAAGATGGTTAATCAAAAAAAACTCGGTAGGAGGTTTTTTTTTCAAATAAATTAAACGCGATAAAATCCGTAAAAGTCGTTTTTTTATCTCTCTATATAGTAGTGTATCTCAAATGAAAGTAGTCTAATTAAAGAATCAACCGCCAGTTGTGTCGATTATAGCAAATGTTCAAGCCTGAATATCTAAACTGCAAAATACAATAGACGTCTTACTTGCTGGTTATCTTTTATTTTCTGTCGTGTCAATTTTGGACTGGATATAACATTGTATTATAAATTGAAATGGACTACATGTAAGCCGAATCATTATTAAAAAATAGGATCCGATTCTTGAAAACACGAAAACACTTGTTTATTTTTAAAAATAACGAAAATAAGGGACTTATAAATGCGCTGATTTCTATTTCTTCACTTAAAAAAAAATAAGTGCTACGAATAATTTGTTTCAAGATATTCTGCAGTGTAACTCGATACTATTTACATTTAAAGTTATTACTTATTATAAATTTATAAAAAAATGTAACAAGAAATGCCAACAAAAATTTTTTGTTTCATTTATTGCTTAATAAAACGTTTTACATGATATTTGTGTTATTGTTATCGGAAATTTGTGTAACAAAACATGCTAAAAATAAAACGAAAACTAAAAATAACTTTGCATTATATATTGTGTGCAGCTCCGTCGTCTCCAGTCCACAGCAAGAGGTTGTTAAGTACACGAGGGGGCCGCATGAGCAGCGTCGAACTGCCCGATGAACCAGATAAAAGCCTCTCATCGAACAGCGCCAGTCCTTGCCCTTCACCAGTCAAACAACCGAGCGTATGTAGCATAATTTCAGATATCTCCCAATTTTTTTTACATTATCCTATGCTATTTATTAAGTTATTTTTTATGGTTACACCTTACAACTAAGGTTACAATGTACGAACTTAATATATGTATAATATATACAGTGTGTCCGGTCACGGACTAGCGATATTTTAGGTACTTATAATACAGCTATTTTAATATAAAAATACACTACACACTGAGGTCTAATCCCCTCCCCCTCTATTTGGCAGCCATTTTGTTTTTCTCTTGAGATATTCTCTACGCGTTTACGAAAAAAGTCATATCTCTGAAAGTTTTAGTCTTACTGAGATAAAAATTAACTCATTCGGAGGCCAATAATATTGTTTATCGTTTATATTATCAAAATTTTATTGACATACTTATAACTTTGAAGAAAAAAAATTAACTTCAAATAAATATCAAAAAAATATGCTAATCGGCAAATTATTGTAAATTACTGCAAAAACAACCCCGTTCACCCTTTTTATTTTTATACTAGATCGACAGATTTTGAGTTAAGCTACAATACAACATAAAGTTTACAGCTGTATCTTTATTACTTTAAGAATTATTGTTGTTTGAACATAGCATATACGCAAACACAAAAGGCCTTTGTTAAATGACAACTGGCACTGCCTGCCTAGGAGTAATAGTAATCTGAGATTACTTATGATCTTCGATGAATTAGAGATGATGAATTAGAGATCAGAGAATCAGAATCATCATTTATAAGTAGTATAATTTGAGAGCAGGCAGCATAGAACACTACGTGGTAGAGCCATGCTGCAGTTATATTAGTAGTATAGTTGTAGTATAGTTGTAGCACGAATGGGTCGGCTCGACCGGGGAAGGACCACGCTCTCACAGAATACCAGCGTGAAATAGTAGCTTAATGCTGCTGTATTTCGTATGGTGAGTGTAGAGAACCGGAGACCCTTGTTACTGGAAATGAGGCATTCCATCTCAGTCCTCGCGGATGACAACGCATCTGCATTTTGATTTGTAATGGAAGATAGATGTAGATGTCTATGGGCCGCAGCAACCACTTACCATCAAATGGACTGTGTGCTCGTTTGTCACCCTATTCTATAAAAAAAAAAAAACTAAATATTACTCCTAGGCAGGCAGTGCCAGTTGTCACTTAACAAAGGCCTTTTGTGTTTGGGCATACGCCATGTTCAAACAACAATAATTCTTAAAGTAATAAACATACAGCTGTAAACTTTATGTTGCATTGTAGCTTAACTCAAAGTCTGTCGATCTAGTATAAAAATAAGAAGGGTAAACGGGGTTGTTTTTGCAGTAATTTACAATAATTTGCCGGATAGCATATTTTTTTGATATTTATTTGAAATAAAATTTTTTTTTCTTCAAAGTTACAAATATGTCAACAAAAATTTTGATAATTTAAACGATAAACAATATTATTGGCCTCCGAATGAGTTAATTTTTATCTCAGTAAGACTAAAACTTTCAGAGATATGACTTTTTTCGTAAACGCGTAGAGAATATCTCAAGAGAAAAACAAAATGGCTGCCAAATAGAGGGGGAGGGTATTAGACCTCAGTGTGTAGTGTATTTTTATATTAAAATAGCTGTATTATAAGTACCTAAAATATCGCTAGTCCGTGACCGGACACACTGTATATATATATATATATATATATATATATATATATATATATATATATATATATATATATATATATATATATAATCCAATCATATTGTAAATGTATAAAGATCGATAGATTTTGTGTAATATGATCAAGCAAACCATCAGATCAAACCATTGTCCAACCATCACAGAATGGACCGCACGCTTTGAATATTTCGACTGAGTTCATTAGCTTATAATTGAATCATAAGTATCGAAAGACTCCCATATTATCATACATAAAAAATTTGGACTAAGAACGCCGAGTTGCACTAACCCCTGAACACATTAGTGGCACCTGGCTGGAAATAACGAGTGCTTAATAGATACTACAGAAAATGTGTAAATGTGTGAAAGCATGGTTTCAGTTGAACGTTTTGCGTCATTCGATGAAACTAGCATCGCCAGGCGTGCGAATAAAGCCGGACACAGTCAGGCTTTTCGAAACAAATTAGACGGTGTCTAGCCTGGCCAGCTTTTTAAATTTGACCATTTTTTACATATGTCATAAACTTACATACATACTATTACAATTACTAAAATTAATATTGTTATGAATATTGATTGATTAATAATAAAGAAGAGTGATTCATTCAATTTTATTGTTATTTCATTAGAATTGAAGATGTTTATGGTAAATGATAAAAAGCCTTGTATTACTTTAAAAAAATTGTCGTTTTATACTAAGACTAAAAAATTAAAGGGTTCGGCCTTTTTTACTAAATTATCCGGCTAAGCTGGCTTATCTGCCCGGTTTTTCGGTTTTTAGACCTGGCAACCCTTGATGGAACAAACTGTATGTAACCAACATTATACAAAAAACATCATTGTATGTGCAAGATTTATAAAAGTCCTAACGGTATTCTTACCAACCTGTATCTGTAATGTACAAACAATTATCGATAAATACACCTCGGTTTTTGTGATGTAACTCTTTTCATCTTGTATTCAACGTGTATTTACTATTTACCTCGACCTTTATGATTTTTCGTTCTCAATACATTATGTGGTCGACCAGTATCATCAGTGACATTATTAAAAATAAATACCATTACCATCGCAGCCTGTAAAAGTCCACTGCTGAACATAGGCCTCCCCCATAGAAGGATATTTGCCGCAGTCGTTTCGTTTGGCAAGCGGGTTGGCAATCGCAGTTTTAAGCTATTGCATAGCTTCTATCGCGGGCCTTGAGCGCGGGGACCGAATCCAGAAATTCCGTAACGAAGAAAACCTCACGCTCCCCACTCCGACGGGCACGGAGGTGTGGCGTTGAAAGCCGTGCATCGTCTAACGTCGTTTCAGTTCAGCACTCGGCAGACTTCGGCACGGTGTTTGTGTGCATGCGACTAGACGTATGCGTGTACACTAGCTGCTAACTCAATGATAAAAATTCCTGAATAACCTACATGTATTGTAAGATATTAAAAATATTTTAAACAATATTAACTTCTCATTTATTCAATAAGAGAAAAAAAATTGTTTTCTTATCGGTCACCACGCTCAAAAAGTGTAACTTGATTTAATATCAAAGACTTAACTGCATAAATAAAATAAATAAATAATTATAATTGCATAAGTTGATAAAAAATGCTATGCAATAGCTTTAACGCGGCAGTCACCGAGTGCCACACGTATTTAAATATTTTGACCTGCTATCAGAAAGATGCTGTTTCTCTCTGTTAACTCTTACGACACCCACGCGACGATACGGCGGGTAGTGGATATTCTTACACCGCCGAGCACAATAAACTAAAAAAAATTAGTTATCAATTATTTTTAAAGTAGGTTACACATCAATAAAATTTATTTCTATTTTATTTACAGAAATATCAGAGGCTCTTACCCACTAACCTGTATGTGATACTGTATAACTTCAAATCCCGTCACGCTGATGAGTTGGACTTGAAAGCCGGTTATAAGGTTACAGTCATTGATACATCTGACCCTGATTGGTGGAAAGGGAAGTGCTTAGGCAAGATCGGGTATTTCCCTTCTAAATATTGTACAAAATTGCAAGCTGGAGAGAGACCATTGCAAGTCACTCATAATCTTCAAGTAAGCTATAATCATTCGTACGTATATTAATAAATATATAATTACATATTACAATTAGTTGGTATATTTCAAAGTGAGTGCTCTCTAGGTATTGAAGAACCAAAAAAACTGCGTAATCGTGAGAACATATATATGCGAAACAAAAAAATGTTTCGAGTGCATAGATACTTTGTTAACAATCAATTAAAAACTAGCAGAGGTTATATACAAATTTTTGCTCCGGTTGGATTTCAAACGCAGGACCCGTGGCATAGATGTCTTTATTAGACACTTACTACTTCCACACTTTATCAAAAGTATAATAATTATGAAGAATATAAGTTTTGAATGAATCCCCAATTCAGTCATCCATATCAGCCTGTAAATTATTTTTATATTTTAGATATGTATTTTATATATCTATCTGGGGATTATTCTTAAACGGAGATATTTGCCATAGTTATGTCTTATAGCCGCACATAAAAACTGTTTAAAGCACAAGAATTGATGCAACATAACTATGATCAGCTGTGCAAAAAAGGCTGGCAATAAATGCTCAAGAAAATAAACTGATGCATATACGTTTAAGCTACATAAAATATGATACACCACCCATTATCATTGCACATGAACAAAGCTGTCTACATTAGCAAACCATCAAATGTATGTAACTGTGACGCCCTGGAAATGGTTGATCAGCAAATGTATTTAGGCCTAATAATAGATAGTAAATTAAACTGGAGACCACATGTTATTTACATTTGTAAAAAACTAAAAGCAATACTTTATAATTTATCAATACTTTAGTATAAAATTCCTTACAAAACTTTGAGACTTTTATATTTAGACTTAGCAGATTCAATAATAAACTATGGACTGAGTAGCTATGGCAGAACCTATAAAACTTATAATTATACAAAAAAATTATGAAATACAACTAAAAATCTTAAAAATAATAGTGTTACGAGCTTGAGGTTCGTGACAATAAAAACTGCCGATTGGATTACCAAAATTAACACTTTAATTCACTTTACACCATTAAACTTAGAACACTAATAATTAACCACACTGATTCACTTTATTTCGCTCCGAAGCTTCGCTTGTCTCGCCGAATTCAATACTTCCCCGCTCGCATCTTGCAGCGCCTTTAAATACACATTATCACCGAAAAATCCAGAATATTCAAGTAAATACGCGCGCCAATCGACTAGGCGCCGAAAGTTCGAGTGTCGGGTTTCTAGAAGCTTAGTTCTTCGTGTCGATACTAGATGGCGCTGTCGGTTGAAAGATTAGTGATGTCATTTTCTGGAAAGCTCTCCTCGCTCCGTTACCCGACACAGATGGCGCTAGTGCCGGGTACATGAAGTCAACTTAGGCGCGCAACAATAGTTTCTAACTATGTTAAGCAACTGTACAGACGTGATGATTCAAATTTGTATAGATATTGTAGAACATTAAATGCGTATGAAGAAATTAAATTGACAGTCATATGTGAAGAGTGGGAGCAGTAGAGTAAATTAAAAAAATATAGTAGACCTGAAACCCTACGTAAGTTGAACAGCTTACCTACAACAAAAACATTTATGGCAAGCGCACGTGGGAATAACTGCTCCCCTCTTTGCTTAACGAGCTTCCACTCACTTTTTTAAATAAAGTAAAATATTATAAAGTAAAAACAGCTAAAAGAACATTAAAGGAGCTTCTAATCAAATAACTAGATAGTCGATATGGTATGTTATGCGTATGTTGTACTATTATATGTAGTATAATAATATATATTAGATGATAACATAATTACTGTAAATTGCATGATCTGATGTGTTTATACTGATTTATCTCAAATTTATATATTTATTAATATACTTAGTAATTAGCTGATTAGTTAATAAATATATAGATCTACCATTATTATCAATAATAGTTTATATAAGGTAATAGTTTATAGTAAATAGGCCACAGCCATTAAAATAATATTTAATAATTTATAATTATATAATAATAGCTTATAATATTTTATAATTGCTTACAGCTTATAGGCCACAGCAATTAAACCGTGTGTGGTTTCTGCTGTTGGGCTTAAAAATTTAACTTTTTGTATCAGTTTTTTTAAATATTTTGAATTAAAAAAAAGTTTCACGCTTGCAATTGTTCTTGTTACAAGACCTACATGATCCGTTGGGCGATGTCGGTTACTTTAGTTCTTTTAGCGGATATCCTCATTACAAACTATATTACACAGAGAAATTCAAAAAATGACCGCTCCATAACTTGCTTAGCAATGATAAGCTTCCTCATACGGCCGTCTCAGATCATGTCACTGCTGGAAGTACCCACTGGTTTTACAGAGTTGTTGAATTCGTAACGAAAATATGTAATGGAATTTTCCAAACACTGTCCGCCGAGTTGAATCCGTCCATGGATCTCTCGGTCGAAGTTTGATTTACCTAGTCAGATTTGTCCTCCGTAAGCAACAACATCGAGCGTAATAGTCCCAACAACTACCGGGCGTAGGTGTAACGTTACGCACGGCATTTCATGTTCATCCAAAGGCCTATTTCGTTAAGGGACAACTATTGAGGTCGTTGAGCATAGTGCTAAGGTCCTCAAGCAATTCTGTAATAATGACTATAATAGTAAATCAAAGGTGAGTGATGTACTCGCCATTGATGTTAATAATAAACGGAATATATCAAAGATAATTTAATTAATTATAAAACTATAAGTACGTGATTTTACACTTTTTAATAAATCTTGTTATTATTTGTCAGTCCGTAAAAGTTTTTATAAAAGGATTTGCCATATTCGAAACGCTTGGTGAGTGGATTGGCGATCGAGGCATTAAACGTCTTGCACTTTCCACACTGCTCCCTGATGCTGCATTAGTTTGGGTATTTTACGTCTGGCGTATAAATTATTTTTGGCATTTTTCCATACTCGCCACTTACGACATGGCACTCACATTTTTGTAGAATAAGGGTGATAAACGAGTGCATAGACATCTGTATCTATTCTCGATTAAGAATACAGAAGTATTGTCATCCCTGAGGACTAAGATGGAATTACCGTTCCCAAAACAAAATATCTCTGGTTGTCTACACTTGCTATACGAAACACAACAGCATTAAGCTGATATTTTACGTTGGTAAAATGTATGTATTCAAATGTATGTAAATGCAAGTATTCAATATTTTATGTATAAACACAGAATAAATAATAGTTTAAGAAGTATGATAAGATTTTTATTTTGTACTCAGCGGCCTTTTAATGTATTAAATAAATAAATTTCAGGTATCTGATGGTGACAACGGCCTAATGTTACTGCGCGATCAAATTGTGATTCAGGTCGGTGATGAAATTGATGGAATGGTGATGATTAGATCCGGTGACAACCGACAAGGCGTCTGTCCGGTCAAGTTTCTGCAAGAAGTGTGACGCTTTAAGATACCGAACTTTAACGTAATAAAGGTAATTTCTAAATTCAAAAATATACAAAAGCGTTACCTACCAAATCATATAAAGTTTAATTTTTGGAAAATTATTTTTTTAAAATATATTTTACATTTAAAAATATACAATCCTGACTTTTATTTAGACAAATTTTATAGTAAATTTGCTCCGTTATTTTCACTCATAGATACTCTTCAATAATTCCAGAGACGTGGATCATGCTCAGAACAGATTAGCGCTTGTAATGAACCAAAGTCTATTCGAAGTGCCCCCGTAACACCTTGCGATAGTGAATCATCCACGTGGTCAAGAGAAATCTACGATAGTTACAGAACCGAAAATATTTACAATGAGCCTGAAGAAGGCATGTGGTGGTGGCACAGGCCGTTGGATGTAAGGCGCTCTCATTGCCGTAAGTGCGGAGCATCGTCTGCAACACGGCCTTTGAAAATGTTGCCTTGCGCTGGTGTGGCCCCAGAAGACTATGTTCCGGAAGATCGTCGCCTATTAATGTCACGCGATCGACCCTTGCTTTTAGTAAAAGAGCTGTTTCCGTAAATAGATAAATAATTACAACTCAAGCAAGGTATATAATAAGTCGATTTTTGATTCCGGAAAGCGGTAGGTATATTTGTCATAGGAACTTGTGTTTCGTTTACGTTGTACATTGCTTTACAACAGATGCTGTAATAAACTATCTTTTTATATTTCGTTAATCTATCATAAATTGTTTAAAAAGTTTTAACTGGAATTTATATTTATAGATATTATATTAATCAGCAACTTCTTACATGCTTATTTAAATAACAAAAATTACATTTTATTTTAAATTTCTTAAATATTTTATTACATTTAATCAAAAGCTTTGTATTTTATACAAAAAAATATGAATTATACATACTATACGGCCTATAACAATGCCAAGTCGGTTCTCTTCCAAATTTGATTTATCATTAAATTAATATTTTTATAAATTTCTTAAATACGACGATATATATATATATATATATATATATATATATATATATATATATATATTCGTTTTGAAGGTTACGCTAAGGTTTATATAATATATCTACTACTAGACACTAAAAAGTAATAGCACATACAACGTTACGATATGTAATGTAACTACATAAATAACATTAGGCACTAAAAATACTGAAATTTTGTGATTATAATTCATCACATCCATGATTTTATAACAACAGAAATATACACTAGTCACAAAAATTAAGGGATATAAAAGAAAAAAATTAATTTTTGGGTGATTTTCAACAAGCTCCGAGGGAAATGATTGTAGAACATAAAAACAAAAGAAAATTGTAGCTGCAAGTGTCTAGTTTTCATCCGCCCATGAAAAGTTTTTATCATGTTTGCTTTTGGAGTGATCCTAAGAAAAGTACTGAAAAATTTTGTTCCAAATTTTTGCTCTGCATAACTGCAAACATTTCTTTCATTATTTCACTATTAAGCTCTCTCAGGAAATTTAATGCCCTTTAATTTGACGTAATCAAAAAGTCTATACGAAGATTGCCGCGGAGTTATCGTCAATCAAAGCAAAGAAGTTCTTTTTAACTTTGATAATCAAAAACTGGAAATAATGATCGTATAGGAAATTGAAGGATATTTTTCAAAAATCAAATTGTTTTTGATCGACGAAATAAAGATTATCGAGGAAAAATTTTCTTTTATGGAAAACATCAATTTTTCGGGACACTTTAAGGTTGAGAAATTACAAACGATATTCTTCGTTCATCCATTTTATACTAAGTTATACCTTGTTATCCAAATATCATTAAATATGAACTAAAAAACTAGACGCTTGGAGCTACAATTTGCTTTTATTTTTTGCTATGCGATAATTTTCCTCAGAGTTACAGCTTGTTGAAAATCACCCAAAAATTTAGATTTTTTATATCCCTTTGTTTTTGTGACTAGTGTATTAGCAATTTAGCTTTTAAGCCACGGAAAATTAAAAGAAAAAATCATCGAAAACAGAATAATCATTAACATACCCGTAAAAATATATATGTTTATTACGTTATATTAGGCATTTCATTTATTTGCAAGTTAAAATAATATTGGGACTCATAATATTGAGAAATTACGAGTTTAAGGTACATTGAAACTGAATTTTGTCTTTAATTTAATTAGATAAGACTTTGAATATAAGTAATATTAAACAGACGTGTGAATTACTAATTCTAATTCTCGCTACTGATACGAGATTAGTTAAAGGGTCACACTTAAGTGATGAATAGAATCCTTTGAATTATCATCCTCTATAGATATACCAAAATTTGTGAATGGTGTTACAATTTTCAAATTTTATCGAACAAAAATAGTATTAGATGCATAGAAAATATACAAAGTATCCAATATATATATTGCATAGGAAGCAGCAAACTAGATTAGTTATCCTTTAAGTTAACTGCCTAGCCTTTTTATTAAACGACGCTCTTCACCTAGCGGCGTGAATGATATTGAGCCAATGCGTCTAGATTGCACCTACAATATAACGTTAGCGACGGCTGGACGGCTAAAGACGATAATAGACGCGTCGACCAAATATCATTCAGGCCCCTAGTTGAACGGCGCTGTTTAGTAAATAGGCTAGGCCGGTTAAGGGAAAAGCTAATTAAGCTATTTTATTATTAAGTGGCACAGTTTAGATCTTTAAACTGAGCTATAGTGGGCTGCAACATAATATATTTAGGTTGCATTCCCCATTATTGTAATCTTTATCGGAATGTTTGTTAAATGACAACATTTTAAAGTATAATTTATGGAGATTTTGTACGTAAGGGGGATTAGAATTTAGCATTACGAAGATTTAGTACAATGTGTATTATCTATAATAGTAATTTATTAAAGTATTTATTAGCAGCACGAAAATCATAAAAATTAATAAATTAAAATTATCAGTGCATTCCCGTTCTTCGCTAAAACCACTGTTATTTTATTGATCAATTTAGCATACTTTTATACGGAAATAAAATAGAGAAGGAAACATATTCCATCCTGTATAATTAAGAATTATTTTACTACTTTCTATATCTATACATAGTATATATATATACTGGGTTATTTTTCAACGAATAGCCAAATTTTTGATTAAAAAGATAAAGGATATAGAATGATAGAGATTATTTAAATTAATTTTTCTTTACTATTACTTATTCTGAACCTGCTTTGCAAATTCGGAAAATAAGCCTGTATATTATATATTTTGTGGTCCTTTCATAACTATGGCCAAAAGGTGCGTATTAAAAATAGTTATTAATATTTTTTTAACGTGTTTACCGTTTTCTCGGAAACGGCTGACCCGATTTAAATACTTCACTTTTTATTATATAGATTATACTTCAAATAATTTGAAAAAGAAATTCCATCACCAAGAGTGGCAATTTAGACTATTTAGACGACCATCATGTTCATCATGTTACCTTCAATTTGAGATAATGAACATTACCACTCAAAAGGGTAAAAAATTAAAACTACCCACAAAAAGTAAAAATTTACTTCAAAAACTAAAAATAATTTATTCATTTTCAAATTTCTTGGTTACAATCCCTATTCGTATGTCACCAATACACTGACTATAGAAAATATAAAAGTCCGTTTTTGGTTTTTTTTATTAAAAGTTTAATTTTACTCAAAAAATTGCTTAATATATTAGTCTATAGATCTACCAAACGCAATTTACTATTTACCCGTAAATAACAAAATGTTAAAGTGTGTACACAGAGTACTTTTCAAAGCAAATTAATTTTTTTGTTCCTGCTATGTCTGGATATCAAATTATGTATAAGTTTTTGAGTTCAACGTCTTTGTTTTTTCACGTTTAAACCGTCCCCTTGAAGTTTTAATTATAATTATTAACATACTATGTATAAATAAAAAGTCATTATTGTATACTAAAATATACTAAGTCACATCGCTTGTAAGTAAATATCATTAGTATGTAGCGTAATTAGACTAGGTACATGGATTTTGAAATTAATTAATATTATATATATATATATATATATATATATATATATATATATATATATATATATATATATATATATATAAATAAGGTATTTTGTATTACTTCGTCTATTTGATCTTTAATCTTATTTATATCTTTTTAGTTTTCTTTGTTTCATATTTGACAAAAAACACAAGAATATGATTTTACCGCTGTCTAACTTATAGTAATTTATATCCTTCGATTGCTTGTTTTGATAACGAGATGTTATATAGATTACATTAAAATATTTTTTTCTAATCGTTATTTGTATAGTATCGCACCCATCTTTATTATATCTTTATTAAAATAAAAAAAAGCTTAAAACGATGTCATAGTATCGTGTATAATGAAATAGAGCACAGCTTTAAATAATTTCAAAATAACGTACACCAACAAAATACCCATGTCGATCATCGATTTTCAACGAAAGCAGTCCAATTGTGAAGTGGCACAGAATAAATAACAGACAGTGGACGCTGGAGCCTAGAAAATTCCAGGGAGTAGTAGTAAGAAGTTGACAAACATTTTAAAAATATGTAAAAAAAATTTGCAATATGATTTTTTATAGAATATAGTTTACAAATACTTTGAATGAATATTTTAACCGCATTAATAACCATGTTTTAGTTAGCTTAGATACGTTACAATTTGCTTTAGTTAAGAATATACTTTGTTGTCTTATCAAATTCTGTATATCACTCTGATAAATCAATCTGATAAATTAAAATATGAATTAAGTACAGATTATATCCATATTATATTTTGATATTTCAAAAAATTTACTTTTATGGTGTTAATGACGGATTTTTTTCTGTTTAAGAGTGGTGGTCCAGAAAAGGTTGGGAACCTTTGATAATGTGACATTAAATGATTATGATATAAAATACAGGACGCGTAATATTATATATTAGTAGAAATTTTATGGTTATTTATAAATTAGGTAAAAGTGATTACGTAAGGCGATATAACACATTAACTTATTTGTGTTCGTTACACATTATATTACGCAATCTGTATCAAATTTTTAAACGCACTATTTTCGGCCTTACTTAATCATTTTTGCTAATATAACAATATTTAATATTTGAATAGTTAAGTAAATTGTAAAATGACTTAAATACGAAATTTGGAACCAATAATTATTACTATATTTTAATAGGTCCAAGGGTGCACAACCTTTAATTCCCAAGTAAGATGTTTTTAATATTTATACCAAAATTGTTACTGCAGTTTTAAACGCTTTCCCTTAAATATTTTATCTACAATATTTATTATGGAATTAAAGTGCATGGCATTTATAATAAAAAAATCCTTTCAATACTTTTAAACATAATTATGAATACAGTAATCCACATTTACGGACATATTATTGGTAGCACTTGTATGTACAGCTCTCATTGTCAGATGTGTATAATATTATGTATTGTATGAATTCCTTTACTTACTTTTTTATTATAAAAAAAAACATGTTAAACTCAAATTTTAGCAAATGAAATAAATGAAGTGTCAGTGATAATGCCTTTTGTTTGTTAATATTTTA